GTACGGGGGACATGCCCGACCTAAGAGTAGATGGGGTCGGAGGATCGCACCGCATCGACGATGCGTCGCCGACGCGGCTCGATGTGGAGCCCGATTTTCTCCGCGTTGGCGTCGCCGATGCACCACCGACGCATCGCCGGTGCGTCGCCGATGCGTCGCCGATGCGTCGCCGATGCGGGGCGATCCTCCGAGCGCACGTGCTCGGACCCCAATCTGGGAGGTCTCGAACGACAGGCCCAGCCAGGGCGGGCGGTGGCGTCTTGCTCGGAGCTCTCCCAGGGCCAGGACTAGGTCGGGCATGTCCCCCTGCGGGCGGATATTCTTTGGAAGAACAACGGAGGATAGCCAACAACTAAGCAACAGTGGTCCACAGGAGTTATCGGTCCCTGGATATTCCGCACTATTTTTGCACATTCCTCCCCCAGACATCCAACGTCTCGATTTTTTCGGGACACGGGCCCTCCCGACATTTTCCCCTGGACCGGTTTTTCACCCCGAATAGTTTTTTGACGGTCCCGAGGCCTGCTGAAGGCCCCGAGGGGCCAAAAACTATGAAAAAAACCCGTCTCGATGTCTTCGAGACGCCCGATGTCTGGGCCTGCCGGGGGACCTGGCCCGGCTTCAGGCCGGGAGGCAGCGACACCACCGAAGGCCGGGCGCCCGGAGCGGGCCGGCCCGGAGCGGCTCCAGAGGGCGAGGGCGCAATTCTTCTTCTTTCGAGCAGCGGGCCGCGGTCGGCCCTGGCCACCCTCGGGTTCACCCAAGAGGGGGTCCACCGACAAGGGGGTGGTGCAATGGGTCTGGGGGGTGGCAATGCTCAGGAGGGAAAGAAAGACAGAGACACAATAAATCGTCGACTCCCGGGATAATATGGGAGAATATGGGTTGTGTCCATTTATTCGTGTGTCCCAGGGCCCCTTCAAACACAGTTGGGGCGTGCAATACATTCCGCGGCGCAAGTGCAATGCCATGCAATACAATTCTCCAGCGCAATAGCTTTGCAATGCAATTGCCCACAATCTATTGCGCCACCCCCTTGCAGCTGGACCCCCTTTTGGGTCACAAGGACGCCCCCTCGGGGGGCCTGGCGGTCCTCGGGAGCGCAGCCAGGCGGAGCCTGTCCCAGAGTGCTCGCGTCGTGGGTCGTGGCCCAGACCACCTGGGGCAAGGAAAAGCATCGCGACGGGAAGTTTTTCCAGACTTTCGGCCTCTGGGGACCATTGCTGGGCCTCGGGACCTTCAACAAAACGACTCAGGATGAAACACTGGCCCAGGGGAATGGGTCGAGACCCTTGCGGGTCGACGTTATGACAAGATCATGACGTCGGGGGTCTGGGGAGGGAAGTTTCCCGCTCTCCGGGAGGCTCGTCGCAGCTTTCCAAAGGATCCGGCCCCAGGGCCGCCCAACACCAGCCCTGGACGACAAGCCGGCCCTGGGGAGCAGGGGCCGGGACTTCATGGGGACTATAAGCAAGGGCTCCCTCGAGGGCGCGAAGTTATTCGCGCTTCGCGCTTCGCGGCCCTCGTTCCTTCTCCTTCTCCTCCTCGTCCTCCTATTCTCCCTTTGGGAGGGCGGCGCGAGAGCGCGAGGTTATTCGCGCCTCGCGCTTCGCGCAGCGCGAGAGCGCGAAGTTGGGAGCCCTAGATAAGTTGGAAAATCAGGACGTCGCACGTCCGGCCCCCCTGCGCCGCCCTTGTCGTTTTTCCCGTCCTGCACGCCAGCCCACTCGCCCTGCGGTCGCCTCGAGTCGCCACCCGCGGGAGCAGCTCTTCTGCCTCGCCGCCGACGAAGAGATGCTCGTCACCGTCCACCAAATCACCCCGACCCAACCCGAAGGCCCCGACTTGCCTTCCATTTCCAGTGGGGGGTGGGGTCGGGGAACGCTGAAAAAACACATGGAGCCCGCACCCCCCACCTCGGAATCTGGGTCTTCGAGTTGGGTTGGGGTGGTCTGGTACCCAGACATCTGACGTCTCGATGTTTTCGAGGCACGGCCCCCGACCCCCCAACCAGTTCCCCAGGACCGGCTTTCCATCCCGAGCGCTCCTTTGAGGGTCCCGAGGCCCGGCCAGGGCCCCGAGAGGCCGAAGAGCGGGCAAACCCTCCGCCTCGAGTTCCTCGAGGCGCCCACCGTCTGGGCAGGCCGTCCGCTCGGGCCCCCTGCGGGGGGGTCCGTCGAGCGGTGCTCCGCGCCCGCCCCGCGGTGTGCCCGGGCGGGGTCCGTCCGGCGGCCCTCGCGCCCCCCGGGGGGCCCCCCGCGGGTGGCCGCGGCCCGGCCGGGGCCTCGCGGGAGCCAGGCGCCGCGAGCACCGCCCGCCCGCGGCGTGCACCGGTTCGTCCAGCAGGGGCGAGGCGTCCCGGCGTGCCTATGGGCCAGCCAAGAGCGGTGTCCCGAGGACCTTTTCGTCGGGGTTGGACAGGCCTCCTGCCCTGACGCGTCGATGGAGGAGTTGGCCGTGTTCGGTTCGCGAGAGGGCGTCGCGGCCGTCATTTTTGCGGGTCCAGGTCCGTCGGTTTCGGTCCCAGGCCGTTTTCACTAAGGGGAGGTTTACTAAAGGGAGGTTTGTCCACCGCCGGTTTTGTGGTTTCCACGCAATGTTCTCAGAACATCTCTGGCGGGGTCTGTCTTGTTGTAGCACGTCGGGTTTGTCTTCTAAGAGCATTGTTTTTGTTCTTAGAACTTTTTTGGGTTCTAGGAACATTTCATGGTAGGGCTGTAGAAATGCCCGGGCTGTCGGTCCCTGCTCAAGTTCGTCATCCTTCGCATCTGAGATCGGCCACATAATCGATGTTCATGCCAGGAATTCATTTCTTTCCGTCGAACCTAGGCAGACTGCGCGCGTAATGCTCCGTAGTTCTCTCGGGTTGACCCAAAAAGGGGGTCCAGCGACAAGGGGGTGGTGCAATAGGTTTGGTGCAATAGATTTGTGGGGTTGCAATACATATGGGGCGTGCAATACATTCCGGGGCACAAATGTACTGCTGGCTTTTCGCGTGCAACGCGTTACTTGCAGCACAGTGCAATACACTTCTCGGGCGCAGTACATTAGCAATAGAGTTACCCCAAGTCTGTTGCGCCACCCCCTTGCAGCTGGACCCTCTTGTGGGTCACCCAGCATCTCTGGAACCTTCGAAGCCTACTCTTCCGCAGACTCGACGGAGGCAACGCCTTCGGGTGATGCGCCGAGAGCCCCTGCGCGAGTCCCCGGCCGGGGAGGCCTGCACCGTGCTCCCGAAGAAGGCTGGCATCACGAGGGAGAGGGATCCCGAGGCAGAGAGTCCGCCCCCCCGTCGGCCTCCCGCGGCCCGTCCCCGGGGCCCCAGGGGTCGCCCACAGGACGCCTCGGGTTAGGGGCGACGATGGGGGGCGATAGGCATATGGGGGGGACGCATCGACCCCCAATCGCCCACTGATCGCCGATGGGGGCCTGATAGGACCAACCCGCCCAGGAAGGTGCGGATTCACTATCGTGGGGCTATCGCCGATCTATCGGCGATGTATCGTTGATTCCAGGTCGATGCATCCCCCTCTATGCCAGTCCCCCCCTATCGTTGCCGCCCATCGGGAGACGGAAAGATTCAGGAGGTGAAAAAACATGCGGGAAGACGAGAATTTAGAACATATGAGAAAGTACGGGGAATCCTGGAATTTGTGTATATTGACTTGTGTGTCCTTGAGTCCCTGTGCCATAGCCAGCCCTCCTCGCTCCGACCCCCATATGGTCGGGGAAACGTGAGACTCTAGTGCGCCAGAACCCGGGTGTGCCAGAGCTTCTGGACGAGCTCGTCCCGGATTCCAGCGATCGAATTTTCGTGGGATGCCTGCAGCGGGAGCTCGCGCCAAATTTTAGACAGGGTCTCATCATTTTCGTGATGGTCCCGTCAGACCAATCTGAGTCCTCCGAGCCGGAGTCTTATGTCTCCCTGATCATCTGCCTCTGCCTCCCATGGTCCTCCGCCTGGGGGACCCTGGGGCGCCATGGTTTTGAACGGCTTGGCCAAGGGGCGCTATCACTGCGCTATCAACTCGACGAGGTCTGGGACCGCCTGGTGAAACATTGGCGAACACCAGGGACCGTGCGTTGTGTGTTTGTGTGTGTATGTGTATGTATATAGATATATATATATGTGTGTTGGTCGTTTCTCAGTGATTCACGTTTCTCTCATAGCGCTTTCGATTATGCTCGGTCGCAATTAGCACTTCCATCAGCTGCCCGCGCCTGAGGACCCTCTGCGCCGCTGACTCAACAGTGTGTGCCGTTCGTGTGTTGTTTATGTGTGTGTGCCTAAGTGTGTGTCTGTGTTGCTCGTTCGTCTCAGAAGGACATGCTTCCCCCTCTGCGCGAGCGTCTCACCTCCACCCTCCTGCACTGTTCGCGCGGCGCCGGCCGTCGCGCTCGCCCGCCGCCCCGGACAGTTCGGATTCTGTAACCACTCCTGAGAGCCTTTCGGGCGGAGCTAATCCAAACACCGAAACAAGTTCAGAGCAGTTCTGAAACGCTGCTTTGGTTGTTCAAAGCCGTGCCAGGGTACTGGTTTGAACGATGAGGACTTCTGGCCATAATGGGACAAGGCGACAGCAGGATCGCTGTCGGCGTGCTCTTTCGATGCCAGCGCGGCCGCGAATTGTTTTTCATCCCGCTCTCTTACATTAGGGAATCCTCCGCCTCCTTCTCCTCGTCCTCCCCCTCCCCCTCCTCCTATTCCTCCTCCTCCTCCTCCTCCTCCTCTTCATTCTCCTTCTCCCGCCGGAGCTAAGAGATTCCCGACTTATCCTCGCCCGATGTCATCCTCGTCCTGGCCTCGTCTTAGCCCTGTGTGTCCTCGGAAGTCCGTCTCTCGAATGCATTCGCGTGCGTTGCATTCGGTAATCGGTGAACAAGCGCCGATGTAGCGTCGGCTGGCGTCGATTTGTTGTCCACTGGAGTCGATTGTAGCGCCGGCTGGCGTCGGTCAGCGTCGATTCGCAAGAGCCAGCAAGTTGGCACGGGAGGCTCCCATGAGTTGCGACAGCGCGGCGGCTGAAGGCCAGAGGCCGGGGGCGGTGCCGCGGCTTCGGCCGGCAGGGCCACGCTCGGTGCCCCGTGTCGCTTCGGCGTTCCGGGGCCTCCCTGCACACGACAGCGGAGGCCCTTCCGCTGGCGGGGCCCGCAGGCGGTGGGGTGGCAAGCAGTCACGCCGCCACGCGCAGGCTGGGCGGAAAACCCGCGACCAGCAGCTGTCGCCTTGGAGCGCGCTCGGGTGGTTCCCACAGCAGCGGATTGGCTGCGAGCGCCGCCGTGGTTCGGAGGCCGCCCGGTCGACGCGGAGGGCCCAGGACCCAGGAGAAGAACACACATTCTGACACGTTGCAGCGGCGGGGAACGGTGGCAAAAGCATTGAGCGCCCCTGGAGCACACAGTTCATTGTCGATTCCCTCGGAGATATGGGAAAATCTCGGAAGTGGGGGGGAAGACTGAAGCCCAAACCATCTGGAAGAATATGGGGAATCCTGGGATTTGTGTGTATTTATTTGACGAGCCAACAACACACACCCATACCCATAAGGGGGTCGGAGAGGGCTATGGGTGCGTGTTGTCGGGTGGGGGGCCCCGCTCGAACGGGAGCGTTCCCGAGGGTCCGACAACCCGCACCCATACCCATAGCCAGTCCTCCTCCCCACGAGCCCCCCTATGGGTATGGGTGTGCGCTGTTCGTTCGTCATTATTTGTGCGTCCCTGGGCTCTTCACCTCTCGCACTGCCCAGGGCAGCGGCCCAGGAGGAGGAGCTGGTTCTGGGCAGAGGCCCCGGGGTCCGGGGCCCGTTTCCCTTACAAGACGCGTCCTTTCTTGCCAGTGGTACAGTGGGGGCCCGACCTCAAAAGACGCCTTCCACGAGAGACCCATCCTCGATGGCGGAAAAGAGGGGGGTGATGTCTAAGGGGGGGTGGATCTCACGGCGGGGGCCATGATATTTCCCCAGATCTCATGGCGCCTCTTCTTATTTCTTTACGTCCCTGCCCCCCCCGCTGGGCCGCGCACATGCCGCCGGTCATGATTTGCACCCCCCCCTCTTGGACACCCGCCTCTTGGCCGCTCCCAACATCCCTGGGAACATAGGACGTCCAGGGGTGTTTGGCGTGGAGCGTCGCGCCGTCCACAGCAAAACCATCGTAAAACTCAAGAAACCCGGGGCACCCTGGAGGCAAGCAGGGTGCTTCTTGGCATGGGCCTCCACTGCATAACTGGAGTGTTCGATCATGGACCCCTTGTCGGGCGCAACCGTTCAGCTGTCGCGCCAGAGACCGCTGGACATCGCCAAGGGCTGCAGGAAACCGCCGAATACCGCCAGAAGACCGGCGAAAACCGCCAGAAGACCGTCCAGAGACCGCCGCAACCCGTCCAAAGATTGCTGAAGTCCGCCAGAAGACTGGCGAAGACCGCCAGAAGACCGCCGAAGACGGCCCAGGAGCGATGGGTACACAACAAGGGGTCCATGGTAGCAGACGTGTTGGGACCTTGCCCGTGGACCCCGACGAGGGAGCGACGCAGGAGAACGGGGTCGCCTTAATCGACATTGGCGCGCAAGCTGCCCGCGTCAGGCCGCGCGCGAGCGCCCTTGTTTCCAATGCAGCAGAGCTTTAAGGTCGCTGCGTCATCTTTCGGCGGCGAGCGAGGGGGGGAACTGAGACCGAGAAGGCCTTCTCAGAAGGCGGCGGGACTTCTCAGAAGGCCTTCGGCCTTCTGAGAAGTTTGTCCTGTCTTCGGGGGAGGCTTGGGAAACTTCTCAGGAGTCCCAGGAACTCCCGAGCCTTCTGAGCTTCTCACTTCCCCCCCAGGCGCGCCGCCTACTCTTGCGTAAGACCCGTTTACGTTAGGTTCGTAAGGCAGAAGGCGGCGGGCTTCCGCGAGCGCCCTTGTTTCCAATGCCAGCAGAGCTTTAAGGTCGCTGCGTCATCTTTCGGCGTGCGAGGCGTCGTCGTCGGCGTCGTCGTCCGTCGTCTGCCGCCGCCCGCCGTCGTCGTCGTCGTCCGTCGTCCGTCCGTTCGTCGTCGTCGTCGTCGTGTCGTCGTCGTCGTCGTCGGTCGTCGTCGTCGTCGTCGTCGTCGTCGTCAGAAGTCCTCCTCCTCCCCTCCTCCTCCTCCTCCTCCTCCTCCTCCTCCTCCTCCTCCTCCTCCTCCTCCTCCTCCTCCTCCTCCTCAGAGCTGGCCCCCCCGGGCCCCTCCCGGGGTGCTTCCTGGCCAGCTCTCCGAGCCGCGTCCAGCCGTGGTGGCGAGAACCGCCAGGGGGAACGAGCGGGAGTGCCCTGCACCAGGCGGTGATCGAGCAGGGGAGCAAAAAGAAGCGGGTCTGACTGGTAGGTCAACTTTGCGAGTTCAAGCGAAGAAGAAACAGTCGCACCAACGAATTTCCAGAGCCCCGCGCGGATGTTTTCGATCGGCGTTTGGGCCCCCCTCCCTAGCGCCGCCCCTGGTGCGCTTTGCGCGCCTGAGAGGGGGGTCCCAGCGCTGATCCAACGAATCCGCGCGGAGCTCCAACAGTTTTTGGTTGTGCAGATTTCCAAGGACCGACCACAACGCTGCTTAGCTTGGTTTGGGCCATTGTTATGTTTGTCGTTCCGTTTTTCGTTGTTGCTTCGTTTTGTTTTTCTGTTGCTGTTTTAAGCGCCCCGTTTCGTCATTCTTTCGTTTGACACAGGCTTCGTTTTCAACGTTCGTTTTAATAGTCGGGCCTCCTTGCGATGTTCGGCGTAAAGCCAATTTCGTTTTAAACATCGCTGTGGACGGTCCTTGGCGTTCTTTGTTGCTCCTCTAGCCAGGGGCGCCCTCGTGCCCCGTCTGCCGCGTCTCACGCCCTTCTCACGTCTGGAGTGCGCGTTGCCCTTGGGAGAAACCTGCGGCCTCTCGGGTGTCCTCTACAATCGGTCAGGGCGGTCGTCGTCGTCGTCGTCGTCGTCGTCGTCGTCGTCGTCGTCGTCGTCGTCGTCGTCGTAGCTGGGCCTTCTCGGGCGGTGGTTTCAAGAGGCGCCCGAGGTCCTTCGAGGCCTCTGGAGGCCCCGACGGCGGAGGGCAGCAGCCTGCACGAGCCTCCGCCCCCGACCCTCGGACAGCTCGCCCTCGATCCTCGAGCCTCGATCCGTCATAGTGGCCTTTCCTTTGGAGACGAAAAGGGGAGCGCGCCGAAATCCATTCCAAACGAAATTGCGTTGTTTTTCAGTTTTTGTTTGCTTACTTCGTTGTGCAGGCGCGCATTGCCGTGCGGTGGTTTGGCTAGTACATGCTAGAGTGCATTTAACTTCACAGAGTACGCGCCGCTCACTTCTCACATTACGCATGCTATCACGCGCAAGTGGCCCGTTCCGCGAGCTTGTTCGCATGTGCTTGTGGGCGAGGTCCACGCGGCGTGCGAATTTGATTGCGTTGGCTTTTTGCTGCGCGGGCCAGGCTGGTGTTTTTCTGCAGTGCTTCGGGTGGCGCTCTGGTGATTGGGGATGGGCGTCGCGCGCCGCCGTGCGGATTGTTTCGGCGCCTCGGCGCAGCGTTTGGGCTGACACCCCGTTGCGGGGACTGCAAGCGCCGGGTTGCAAGGTCGGGGTCGCCGCTTTGGCATGCGTTGTTGAATCGTTGCCTTGCCGTAGGAGCAGGGGCGGCGCCCAGGTGTCAGCCCTAGGCCGACACCTTGATGCGGGCACTGTTTCATCAACTTGCGCATGGGCTGGGTCAGCGCCCTGATCAGTATCGAGCTTGCGCGCGCTTTCAAGCGTTCGCGCGTGGGGGATAGAGGCGCCGTTCGTTCTGTGTCGGCAGGGTTATGGCCCTGCTGTAGGGGGTGGGTTGTCGTCGTGCTGCGGGGTCTCGGCTGGCGTTTGCGCGGGGAGCTGGCGCTGGCGCGCCGATGTCAAGGTTTTGGCGCATCACCCCGCTCGCGCGGCAGAACCTTGCGCCCTGCCGCGGCGGGCGCGCTCCGGCTGGAACACCGACGGGGAGCGGGGCCCAGCGAGCGCGCTGGAGTTTGATTCGGCGTTCCTCTGCGATGGCTCGCCCGCGCCCGTCGGCACCGCCGCATGGCCGTCCCAAAGGCGAAAGTGAACAGAGAGTTTCTGCTCATGCGCGGGGAAGGTCATGGGCGGCGTTGTGCTTGTCAGAGAGCATGCGCAGCGCTGGGTTCCTCAATGGAAAATATGATCCTCCTCCTCCTCCTCGTTGTTTTCCTCCATTGCTCGTTCTATTCGCCCTGCAACCCTTCTAGCTCCTCCTCTCCTCAATGTTCTCGCTGCGTGGGGCGGGCGGGGGGCCAGGCAGGCGTTCGGTCCAAGGGGTCGGGGCACGGGGGTCCATGGGGGAGCAGGAATGGCGTTGGGGGGTGCTGAAAGGGGTGGGCGAAAACGACTGGAAGAGGGAGGGGCAAGGAGGCAGCGGAGGCGCAGAGGACGGGGGGCCCCCTCCAGGGCAGGCCGCATGATGCGACAACGCCCAAAGCACGCATCAAGGGCCCACAGTGCATTCAGACCGAGATGCGGAAAACAAAAACTTGCGTTTGCCCCCCAAATCGGATACACGGCACTCCGAGGTAGCTGCCCATGGGGGTCATTCCGAGGGATGTTTCGAAAACCCATGACTTATCAAGAACACGAGAAACCCAAACAACCAGAGCGCGGCGCGAATTTGACAGGACACCCCGCTCCGAACGATTTTTTTCAGCAGCCATGAACCGAGGAGGGCGGGAAAAGTCGAGGAATGAGGCGGGGGGGGGCGATACATGGACGAATTCAGGATGTCGTCAGCCCTTGCTCGCCCGCGGCGGCACTCTCCCTTGCCCCTCCTTGGAGGGGGACCCTCGTCGACGGGCGGGCCTCTGGCCCCCGAGAAAAGTGCAGCGGAGCCTTCATGTGGCGAGGGTCGCCGGGCTCGCTATGTAGTGTTGCGTGCGCTGCCATTGCCCTTGCTGCTGTTCCTCCTCTTCTCTCTCCTACTCGAGCTCAGCAGGCTCTCTGCGCTCTTGCCCCCTCGCGTCTCCTTCCCGCGTGGTTTCTCTTGGTCCGACCCTTCCTGGTCCAGGCGTCCCGAGTCCCCTGGCTGCTTCTGCGGTGGTTGCTGCTGCTATTGTTTTTACCCCACCCCCACCCCCAGCATCATCCCAGTGCGAACGCGTAAGCCCAACGAAGAGCTGTGGTTTCGGGCTGCTGCTGGCGTCTCCGCATCGATGTACTTTGGATGCTGAGCGTCTAGCCACTCCAGGACCCCTCAGGCGTCCGAGTCTCTTCGATGTTGCGTTCGCGGTGCTTTTTGTTTGGTGCTCGGGAGTTGAGGGTTGGGGGGCGCGCAACCGCGCAGCCTCGCAGGTACCAGGGAGTGTCGTGAAGCCGAGGTCGCGCCCCGCTGGCTGTCCCCAGGGCGCCCAAGCCCGCCTCGCCCCATTTCGATAAACGAGGGGTCAGCTGAGCTCCCATAAGCATTCCTGATCTAATTGCGTTCGTTTCCTAATGCCAGGGTTCGTATTGGTATCAGCGTCATTCTCGCCATCTTCTTTCCGTTGCCCTTTCGGCTCGAGGGCGCCCGCATCCTCCTCTTTTGTTCTCTCTCTTGTCTGTTGTTTGTCTCTTCGGACCAACGCTGATGGAGCCAGAGTGCATCTCTGATGTCGTCAGGCGTCTCGCGAGGCCGTCCGCTATGCACTGCAAGAGCGACCGACGCGACGCCTGGGTAGCGTGCAGCGTGCTCAAACAGGAGACCGAGGAACAGGTGCATCGACTATTCCAGGTAGCTCGCATGTCCAAGTGGCCCGTCCTTATGACGTACATGTCGGACGGATGGGGGTGCAAGATATCAGACTCGAAAACAGCGTTGTTGGGTGAGCACGTTCTGAGGCGAACTGGGCGCGTACGCGCCGAGTTCCTCCTCGAAAAAAGTATCGTAAAGACCATCTCTCCCAGCGGGGAGATTCGATCAGCCATGCGGTTCGAGGCCCCGAGAGGGCTCGGGCAGGGCAAAACCGGATGGCACATGCTCCAGGCAGCTGTAGACCACGAGGAGACACTCCGCCAACACGTCCACGACGGTGTTGTTATCACGTTTGTTCTTCAAGACGGCCTGCACTTCGCTGGCATGTCTCGCAGGATGGAGGCGCGCTGCGACTTGTTCTATGACGCCCTGGACGACCCCTCCGTGTCAACTGATCCACACCATCCTTTACGATTAAGCGATTGGTTCTTTGGCATGAGGTGCATCGCGCACGTTGCAAGCAGCGCGATATCGTGGGGGATGTCGGAGGTCAGCACAAAACAACTCCTGGATGACATCCACATCGGCATTAAATCTTGCCGTGATACATCCAACGAGCTTTTCCAAGTTGTCTTCCAGTTTGTGTGTTCTGCCCACGTGGTGTTCGAAGACCCTCCCGAACAGTTGGCTCGTCGCCAGGAGTTCTGGGAGGTGATGGGGGTGCCGGAGACACTGATGGAGGATGTCATGCTAGTAGATCCACGATTCGACCAACAAGCTTCCATCCTTCGTGTTTCGCAGAGATTGGGGGGCCACCGGGACTGGCGCGGCATTTTGGCGTCAACCATCATGTACTTCCTCCGGTGGAAATCTTTTTCGGAGACGAGGTGGGCTGGCGTTGGGCCGTCATGCCGGCTGTTTCTCGGATCGATGTGCGTTGGCTTGCCCGTTTTGGTTGATTTAGTGTACAAGCGGGATGGCTTGTGCACATATCATTTGGGCGGTTTCTCCAATATTGGCAGGCCCCATCTGCGATATCTCGTCGTGGCCGCTGTGGCCGCGCAACCTTGTGAGGCATTCAACTTGGAAGTCATGCAGGACGACAGATTCCTCAAGCGCGGCGCTGAACTCAAGCGTTTATGCAGAGATAAAACCACATGGGTTGAATCTTTGCACCTCGATACGTGGAGCGCCCTTGGCCAGCTCGCAGGCGAATCTGGCCCCACCTTGCGGGGCCTCACCTTGCAGGCAGTGCACAACATGAACGGTTACTTGTGGAAACATGCGTTTTGCCATCTCGAGCAATTCCCGCTGTGTCTGACCCAGGGCAACATCCGCGCGCAGTTGGACGCATTGGGTGCCGCCCCCGCAGCGGACCTGGACACGAGTAGCTTGAAAATCCGCCGATGCTTGGATTCGGGACTTCTCCCCGTGGCGGTCGTGGCCCGCTCCCTGGCGCTGTTGCGCGAGTCCCCTTGCACGACGTGCTTAGTCGAGAAGGCTCATGGCGCAGGCGCGATTGTGAAACAATATCACAATCGAATTGGCGCCAGCGTGCTGGGCCACCGGGCTTTGTTGGCTCAGGCTGCCCCGTGTTTTGCCCAGCCAAGAGGACTAGCCAAAGAGATGGCTCTCAGGGCTCGCATCGAGGCGTTGCGAGGGAGGCCCACGTTGTATTCCGGACTGCAGGACTGGGGCCCCGCCGAACAGATCGTTAGTAAGAAGTCGCAAACAGGGCCAGTCCCTGGGAGCGACATCCCGTGCCCTCGCCCTCCCGCGCCTTTGTATTTGCCTGCCTCCCCGTAGCCGAGGCTTTGCCCGCCTTCGGTTTGCATGCTTGCCTCGGCCTCTGCCTCTTGAAATGAATGCCTCCCCGCGCCCCAAGCGCCTTCGCCCTCGCCTCCGCCCTGCGTGGAGTGCTCCGTCGGCCCGCCCAACCGCTCGTTGGCCGCCTCTGACCTCTCCCCCCTGCTCCGCCCGCGTCCGTGCCGCCTGGTTGGTCCGACCCTCCGCCCCGACCAGGATGCCTCCTTCCACCCTGCCTGCCCCCCCCCCCCCCCCCCCCCCCGCAAAAGTAGGGTAGCGACGGGGGCGCGTTCGCGTCAGCGGGCTCGGAATTTGCCAATTGCCGACGATTTCTTCGGTCGGGGCCCCGTCTTTCAGGAGTATTGCCGCGAGTTGATCCGCGAGGCATGCGTGGGGATGGACGCCTCAACTCCGGCTGCTCTCCGTGTTCGCAAGAGATGCATCGCCGAGCACTCCGCCCGATACGCGTCTTTGCCAGTCGCGGAGAAAGCTCGTCTTGGGCGCGCGGCAGAGGCAGAGAAACATCGACGGGTGCAGGAGCGCGATCAGCTCGCGGCGACATTGGAGGCCGATCTCGGCGAGCTGGTCCGCAAGAGGCGAGAAGCGGACTTGGAACCCCCATGCGATGGCCCTGCCATCGTCACTAGTTCCCACCCGAACAAGCTCTCGGCCATGACGTTCACGGAAGAGGCGCTGGAACGCATGACCACGAATTTCCACGACATGCGGTCGAAATCAGCTCTCGTGCACGACATCTGCGAACGATCCGCCAGGGCCCCCGTGGCGCCAGACCCGGAGTTGCAACGGGCGATCGAGGACAAGGCGAAGACTTTCGTTAGGCGTCCCGCCCAGCTCCCGTGGTGGGTGCCCGTGGTCGCAGGCGGTCGGGACAGGTTTGTCGGCGCCGCCTTGGTGCCCATTCCAGATGCCGCAGAGAGTTTGGAGGAGCTCCCAGTTTGTATATGGTATGTCACTGTCTGCTCCCAGCAACCCCTCGGCGTCCAGTTATTAGAGCTAACGCGGGACGACGCTTGCCCTGCCGTAGGCGTCTTGCCTGTAGATGACATCCGATCGCAGTTTGGTTTCGTTGCCTACAGGCACGACATGAATTATGTGGCAGCTCATGCCGTCCCCTGTCTATGCCGAGATGGCGTTCGTTTCGGCGTCGTGCAGGTGGTCTGGCAAGGCAGCCGCCTCGTCGTCCATTCGGAGTTTCAGGAGTTCGACGAGTACGTGGCACCCTGGGCCAATCAGCTCCGAGAGAGGGCGCCACAGGAGGCGAGGCATGCCCGCATCGCAGTTGCCGTTGTCGACCGTCTCGCGGAAGAGTTCCCCTGGCTCTCTAGGGAGGAGTTGGCCGACATGATCCAGGAACGGCGTCGTCAACATGGCCACCGGCGGGGGCCCGCCAACGCCCGCGGCGGTGGCCCCGCCGAGGCCGACGAGCCTGCTGGCGACGATGCTGCTGAGGTCGACGCCGAGGCCGTGTGGGAGGCCGTCCAGGAGAAAAGGGATCTTTACGAGGGGGCTGATGGTGACGAGGAGTTCTTCTATTTGAAGATCCCTGGGGGCGCCTGGACGGAAGCCAACCTTGGGGTGCCGACAGATTGCGCGGCTTGCTTGAACCGCGCGCTGGCGGAGAGGTGGTGCGTCCGATTTGGCTTTCAACGGAAGTACTCTTTCAAATTTACTAGATATACTGAGCATGCCGCTGTTCAGCTCGCCAGAGGATGGGTGCGTCGTGGCAATTTTTTGTATCGACTTTGGCTGGAGGCCGGTAGCGATCTGGAACATGTTTATACCCGTGAGCAGTTGGACTCATACACCGAGGACCCGGAGTGGGTTGATTGGGCCATGAGCGTGCCCATCGACAGCGATACATGTGCCAGGATTCTGGAGATGAGGCGTTGGAGGCCTCGTGGAACCCAGGAATGATTGATCGCCGTTCTTCGCTGCGCCCGCAGAGAAAATCTCCAGGTTCAGTGCCGCTCGCGTCGCCCATGCGGCAGCCGGTGGAAGCGACAGGGGTCCCTCTGGCGACAGCTGTGGCGGCAGCGGTGCACTAATGATCAGGTTGGTTTGGCGAGAGCGGTCCGCTTACATATCTAAGAGAGGCGGCCGCTCTGCGGACGTGGCCACACACACGGCTTCGCTTTGCTGGTTGTTCGTCTCGGGGGGCACCACATTCCGACTCCACGGGGGAGGCCTTTCTACCGCCTAGCGCCGCGCGGGCGATTGGCATCCTGTCCCTCGGTCGCCGGCGTTTCTCCTGGAATTGTTTTGCCCCCGCTGTCTTTGGTCAGTGCCGTGGGCGCTCGCGGGGGCCGAGGGGGCGCGATTCGATGTGGACCCTCGGAGGGGGCAGCCGGCCCGCAAAACCGACCCGAACAGG